AAGATGAGAGTAACATTTCAAGTAGATGAGAGAGGCAAGAACAAAGTATAAGTATTTTTGAAAGAAAGAACAGCTTTTTGGTTAGAGTAGAGAACTGTTGTTGGGGAAAATATCAATTTAGTTTGCAGAGGTATTTGCTAAGAGACTGGGTTTTTGAACTATTAGAGTAAGGAACCACCATATGTTTGGAGCATAAGAATGATAGACTCAGAGGAACATCTGGCATTTTAATTAGTTATAAACATTTGCAATATTTATTTAAAGAGATGGTGAATTCAAGTATTTGTGAAATAATTGCAGAGATGAAATGGTAAGTGTAAACTCATTCTTAGTAGATAAATAATGTAGATTAGAAAACTGTCCTATTTACTATAAAAACTGACTTTATAGCCCAAAATTCCATTTTGGGAAACATTACCATACCCTGTCAGAATCATCACTACCTTAGAAAAATGTTGAACCATAATCACAAGTAGCAGAAGTGTGCTAGAAATACTAAAGAATGAGAAAGATCAAAAAATATATAAAGAATTAAATTCTTAGCTCTTAATTTGACCCACTGTAGCAACAAGTTAGACACAGATGTGCTGCATACATACTTCTTCAATTAATTAGAAAAAGGTTTGAATGCATAAAAACCTAAAAGAGGTTTACTATGTTTTGTTTTGTTTTGTTTTTTACTATGTTTTGTTATAAGTTGTTATATGGGTTAGGCAAAGCTCTGTAATTAGATTCCTTCCCTTTTTCTAAAATACTAGTTTGTGTTTGAGAACTAGAATATCAATTCTCTGAGATCTGGAACTTCATCTGATTCATTTATGCCTGTAGTCTGAACATCTACAATAACCCTGGTACCACATATATGTTGAGAGCTTGGTGAAACTAATTGAATAGGAAATATTTGTATTTATTTATAGTAGTTTGCTTAAGACTGTTTTTAATTCACGTATTTACAAATTCAGTTGAGGTTGCTCATTGGTATAAAAATCTATATTTTTAGAGCTTTATCTTTTTCATGCAAAAATGTTTTCATTCTTCCCTCAAAAAAGGCTCATAGTTCTTTTATAAGTTGATAATCTTTTTCAAAGGTAAAGAGAGAACTTGGTATTTACCCACCTCCTACTGTGCCAAACCTTTTGCTCATGCATGTGTGTACACACACATATACATCATAAGTAATCTCCTCAACACCCTTCTTTTACACAGCAGACTTAGAATCAGAGAGTCATAGCTTGCCCAGGTCACAAAGGTAAATCATGTGGCCAGAACTTGAATTGGGCTGACGCTAAACTCTATTCTCTGTACACTATTCCACACCACCTCTCTAAGGTATTTAGAGATCAAGTATGTCTGTACCCCACCTCTGTCTACCATCCAAAAGAAGCACTTTGAGTTTTCTTATGAATCTCATGTTTAATAGTCTTACAATACCCCATTTTTAATGAGGAATATTTTGTAAAGTTGTTGAAACTAAACAGTCAAGTGTAGCTTCATTTAAGTATACATTTTCTTAACCCAATCCAAAGACTTCTTAAGGCATTTGGATTTTTGAGAAGGGAGAAAAATAGGACACATTAGACTCTTTGAAGTCTAAAAGAATCTCCATATTCTGTTTTCACAGAATTTTGCCTGCAGTCTTCTTTTCTTTCTTTCTTTCTTTTTTTTTCTTTAAGACAGAGTCTTAATTTATCACCCTCGGTAGAGTGCTGTTGCATCACAGCTCACAGCAGCCTCCAGCTCTTGGGCTTAGGCAATTCTCTTGCCTCAGCCTCCCAAGTAGCTGGGACTACAGGTGCCCACCACAACGCCCGGCTATTTTTTTGTTGCTCTTTGGCTGGGGCCGGGTTCGAACCCAGCCCCCTCAGTATATGGGGCCGGTGCCCTACTCTGAGCCACAGGCGCTGCCCGCAATCTTCTTTTCTATTTTACTCCAAACAGATCAATGCAATAGTCAGAGCTGCTGTTATTTTTCTTTTCATAAACATACATACATTCAGGATATGCAGTTACTAGAGTTCTTGATATTTCAATAATCATTCACATTATAACATACAACATGTATACTTTTACATCTACAAGACATGCTGATATTCGTTTCAGATAAGCCATAACCATTTCTTCTATGAAATGCTGTTACATTTTTATATCAGAGTTTTTAGTGAATATTAGGTTTTTCTAAGTTGCTTCATGTTTGTTTTTTATTCATTTGTCAAAGCATGCCTGAAACAGATGTATACTGTTTGAAAATTCACTAAATTTAGTCACTATTTTTTAAAATATGATTGGACTTCACTTCTCTTAGCTGTGTGATTTTGACCATTTAAATGATTCTGCCTAAAATTATTTCAAATTCATTAAATTTTACATGACCTTTCAAATAACATTGAATTTATTATCTTCATTCTTATCAGTCATTGTTAATTATATTACATGAAGTCAAATTTGAGAAGTTTTTATTTCCAAAAATTTTTATGGCTGAAACTCAGGGCATAGGACTCCAGAAGAAACAAATTTTTACTAGCATTCTTTACTTTTTCTCCACTATTTTAACTAATTCTTTGAAGAACTTTGCTGGCAGGAGTTGTGTTTTAAAAAATAA